CCCCCCCCCCCCCCCGCTGTGTTCTACTCCCTACCTATTTAGGGCAACATAGGGAAATGGTACTCGACACACTTGTGTGTCGGTGCCTTTCCCTGTGTTGTTCCTGTTCTAGTCTTTCCTACCCGGGCGGTCTAAGACTAAAGTCCCGCTCCCTAACTAGTGCACCTAATTCACTTCGTCTAAGTATTCAGTAACTCCAGAGTGCTAGGTAGTCAAACACACACACACGTACACACACATGGACATACACCCCCTCCCTGCCCCCCGCTTTCCTTCTTGCGTTTTTTGTCGTTTGTTGGGCTTTCTCTCAGGCTTTTTAGGTTGTTCTTGAGGCTCGTTTCCCTACCCCAGTCAAGGGCTAAGTATTCATTTTTCATTTTTCTACGCCTATCTTTCTCTCTTGCCCTCTTAGCGCTGCTCTTTCTGTGTTTCTTTCCTTTTGTTTCTAAGGCTTTTTAGGTATCTATTCAGGCTTTCCACGCACGCGCCGCCAAGCGGCACCGTGTCTGTGCCACCGTTCTTTGAAAAAGCGCCGAAGCCGGCGATTTGTGTGTGTCCACCCCTGGAAAAAGGGTTCTCAACCAACTTCAGCAGGGGGGCCAGGCCTGTCACATCCAACCTGGCCCAACGAAGCTAGGATGTGACAGGGGAAGCACCAAAGGACGCTTTGGTGTGTACCTGCCGATTTATCCACAAGCTGTGACTCCACTTTCCACGTTTTGGGTTCATGGTTCTTCATGATACTTCCCCAAAACCTTCCCTTTGCCGCGTTTGTCTTGCAGCTGAGCCGCGCCGACCGATCGTTCAGCAGACTTGACCAACAACTTGTTGAAACACCTACAAGTCTTTCGGACTCTCCACCATGCAGTTCTGTCACCTTCCTTCCCAGCGTGGTAACTGAGCTCACTGAATACAAGTGTCAGTGTGTGGGTGGGTGCTTTACTGCATGGAGTGCAGGGTCTTGATAGTCTGTGATTGGGAGTGTGCATCTCATGCAAACTACACATGCCCCAAGGCAAATGACATGCTCTTAAAGAGATAACACGCGTGACATTCAACAAAGACAAAACTACGTATACAATCAGCCAACCTGCCCTGTGATCATGCAAAAACCTCCGCCTTGGGGGAACCTCAAGGACTTTCTACGCCTTGCCTCACCTTCAGTTTGACCTACGACATCACCTTGATCTGTGGTTTTCAACAGCCCGCAGGTCCTGGCCACAGGAAGTAGCCCCTGGGATGCATGGTTTGGTCCTGATGACCAGGCAAGGGAGGCTTCAGTCCTGGCGTTGCTGAGAACAAGACCGGAGCAAAATGCCACCATGATGAAGAAAGTACCAGGATGTTCCCAACCACAAGGGCATACAATGGCAGAAACAAAAACAACAACATTGGCAGGGCTCCGGTAGCATAGGTATAATAGTATAATGGTTTTAATGGTTTATAATTGATAATGGTACAATTACACGGTGTTGCCCCGTTTGTGTTGTGGGGTCCCAAGTTTATACCTTTCAATGCTGGGGGGTCACCCTGAACAGGATCTCAAGCATCAGTCGAAGTCGATTTCGACTGTAATGGGGACTAGAACAATCGTGCACCCCTTCCTGCTGCGGCTTCAACCACTTTCTCAACTACAGTACTGAAGCCTTGGGCTGCATCGAAAAGCAGGCTCCAATTTCACTTGGCCCAAAACGGAACTGGGTGCTCAAGAAGTAGCTGCGCCTCGCAAGCCCCCTGTCGACAGCTTGGACCTATAGATAAACCTAGAACCCATCTGACCTGTTTTGATAGGAACAAACACTAAGTATCAAAATATAATATATATATATATATATGTTTAAAACAATTAACAATTATCCGAAACAGGGGTCACTCAGGTTGTCTCGGTATACAGTAACTGTAACCAACCCATGTCTCGGTCCTTCGCGCAGGGATTCATCGTTCATGTGGGTGTCGATCTGCCAGTAGAGCGGAACGCTCACCTGTCGATCGTGGCATCGGAAAAAAGGACGAGGGCTACCTACTGTATAGAAAACCATCACCACCCACCGTACCTTTCCGACCCAGCTCGGTCTCGGTATCAGGTCGACCCAGTGGGTCGAGTGGTGAGGGTCGTGATGGGTACCGAGCTAACGGACCTACGGACCTGAAAGGGTGGTACAACCGGATCACCTCCACGTAACGTCTCAGAAGGTGATTGGAATCTCAGAAGGTGATTGGAAACACTGTAAGACAGGTGCCAGGAGGGTCCAGTCGTACCGAACCTGACAAGCTGCGACTTGGATCCCTAAGGGGTCGACAAAACCGGAGACCGCTCGATGGACTGCTCATCCCTCGTCTCATCCCTCGTCTCATCGCTCACGCACGTAACGGCGCTTCTCCGTTCGGCCCACCAGGTGATCCTGAAGTGGCCGTTCTTTCGCCAAGTCTGTAAGGCCACTGTAAGGCAATTAATTGTCTGAGCATTGCGGGCACAACTCGAGCCCAACATTAACAAGATCAAAGCTAACGGTGCTGGGCCATGATATCGTTCGCCTGCTCTCAGAACCACATCGTTGGAGGGTTGAGCGCTAAGATGAACATCTGAAAGTCAAGAAAAGCTGCTGGGGAATGAATGAAGGCTTGGCTTGCTATCCAGTCCGCTCAGCTTAGGAACGACTAGGTGCGCGCAGCCAGTCAATTACTGGTCATCCCAGCATCCTGAAGAAACGCTTCGTGCAATAATACCCATTATCCCGGCCACAAAACCGCTGGTGCCTCCTTGCGAGTCGTCAGCAATGCAGGACGTCCGACGCAACGGAATTCCCCACCTCCAAGCAAGCCTTGGCCCCGGCATCATTGATGAGGTAGGCTGTGGTCTCCTGATGGGGGATGACTTCAAGCAAAGGTGGTGTCAACGAGAATAGCACAAAACGCATGCATTCTGATCATTTGTTATAGTATTATTTATAAATATGTAGCAATTTTGCAGCCTCCCTGCTAACTCACAAAGGAAACAATTTGCCAAATACACCATCTCCAGTTGAAGAAGACTTCTACAACTAAGTCCATCTACAGAGAGTTCGAAACGTTTTTCTTCAAGGGAGGGTCGTCTCGAGCCTTGTAAGACCTTCAAAAAGAAGTCTAGGGTTAGGAATGGCTGTTCAAATCTTGTTTGGATCCAAATTTAATTGGTCTTCTTTGGTCTTTTGGACTGGCATGTCAAGTACTTCTGCAAACATTCAGAGAAGCCAATAGATTCGAGTAAAAACAGAACAGAAGCCAGCTTTGTCTCAAGGTTTTTGTCTTCCTGGCACATCCACTGGGTTAAACATACAACATGTAAGTGGCAAATACACAGGGTCACAGAGCTGGCCTCTCAATAAGAAAGCCAAACATGTCAGACCCATTCTGTTGGAAAACCAAATAGTTTCTCTCCCATATGAAAAAAACGTTCTACACAATGAGAACCGTACAAGACCTTAAGGTTTTTATCTTTATTGCACCTTAAGAGAGTCGACCCCAAGAGATGTTCCCAAATGTTCCTCGTAACAAAGAATGGTCGTCTCAGCGAACCACCCGTCCCATGTACGGTACGTTCGTCATTTCAACTCAAAACCGAGAGCGAACGGTGCGGAGGTGTTTGGGAACGTGAAACAAGCGAGCGATCCAGGTCCAATGAGCATAAGACTTGGTGGCTGTCGGGGTGACTGACTTGCTTACTAAGTGCTTAACAATTCTTATACCACAATTCATCACATTCACCTTTTTGGGTCTCTTCTCCGCCAAGAGTCTCGAAAACCCTTGTAAAGTCGCCGAACTCCTTTTCCAACTTCGTACAAGTGCTGCCTGAGGGCACCGTCGCTTCGCGACGGAACCGCTGTGTGCGTGGCTGCGCTTATCTCACCTCCCCACCTCGCTCCGTCCCCCAAGAAGCTACGCACGGTGGAGGCCATCGCTACTGGGAACAAGAAGCTACTAGTCCAAATAAAGAACATGACATGGACCCCGTGGACCCCAACATTTCGCTGACGGCCTCTTCAAAACATATTTGTTTTAAGGGTTTACTTTCCAAGCTGTACAGGTTCAACAAACCATCAACAAACCTGTCAAATTGTCAAATGTTGAAATTTGTCCAGGCTCCAGTTTGTGTGGAACACCGCGAGCGTTCGGGAGTCCTGCCCTAGTGCGTGCGCTCGCACCTTCCACACCTTTCCACCATTTTACTGCTAGGTGTGGGGCTTCGATTTTTGAGTCACACTGAAACATATTCACGACGAACACATAGAACGACCGGTATAATGGGTGCATCTCAAGATGCCGACATGCGCGAATAGATACCGTGTATAAATAAATACACAAAAGTTTGGTGACTTTGAAGAAGTGCTCTACTCTGTGACTGGAGAGCATGTCTGCAAACCCAAAACACATGAGAAATCTTGACTATGGATGAGACCCACAAGTCAAATACATTATACTGCCTGTACTTTTTTTACATTGGACACTGACACGGCTGTGGGGATGCAGCTCAATGGCACCAGGATACCTGGTTGACCTGCACCCGGCACCCGCAGTAGAATTCGTCAAACTGAAGGAAGGCCCTGAAAACACCGGCCACGTCCCTTTGGTCTAGACTTCAGCACTTTAACCTCCCTTAAAACCAAATGGTGTGTAAATGTGTGTATTCAAATTGGGAGATTCCCAACCAATAGCGGTTGACTGGTCAAAGATCCGAACCTTGGGGTGCAGAACCGGGGTCTCCGGAGCGACACGCCTGCGAAGCAAATCTTGTCCACCAAGGTAGACGATCTCCCAATCCTGCCATCACATCCATCGGTGGAATCGATCGCACATGTTGTTCGGCTTGAAAACCGGGTGGGGAAGACGAGCATCCAGCGCTGGATTCCATGCCCATATGGCTCCACTACCATTCTCTGAGGAGGTCGTGTGTTCGACATGAGATCATCTCTGCGCGGCCTTCTGTATGGGTCAGTATGTACCTTCTCAGGTGGCTGTGGATCCCTAAGGCCTAGGGACTGGGAACAAAAACTGAGGATTGCCCCTGAGCATTCGACCAAGACTCACAACGACATGTCCTTGGGTCCAAACGTTCCTGGTGTGTCAGTTGTTCTCAAGACATCCCCCTTGCGCCCCTTGCTACCGACAGCTAAGGTTGATACCCATGATATTTATGAACTTGTCGTATCTTACGTTGCTAAAATGACACTAACAACGTTCCTGGTCCATCTTCATGTTCACCTCTAGTCCGGAGATGTTGCGCTTGGTCCTCAGGAACGTGCGAGAGGCGCTCCAAGAGCAGCTGCTCGGAGAAGTCCGGGGCGAATTGGCAATCGTCCTTGCTCTTCGGACTCTTCGGTGCGAAAGTCGAAGGGTCGAAGTCCCAGTTGAAGGGTCGAACGGGTCGATGGGAATGGTGAGACTGGATTGAAGTCAAGTCCACCTACTGTAAATACATTTTTGTTTGTAAAGTATCCCGGAAAGTGGATGAATAAGAACATCTTACAAATCCATATTTAGCATCTATCCTATCAATTTCCGGTAATAGTGGATGATGGTTAGCAAAGGCCTGGTTCAAAAATAATGATCATTGTTTACTGACAGTTGCAGGTAGTAGGATGGACCCAATCCATCTATGTATGATTCTATCCTTACACACATATCTATATATATATATATGGACACCCCCTATCTACCTAGAACTGTTTTCTGTGGGCCTGCCGGTCAAAAGCTATGTTTTGACACTATCAGAAATCTGTGTTCCTCATTAGCTGACGGCTACAAATGCGTTTTCGATATGTTTCGATAACGTGTTTAAGCCTGCTGTTTTTGATGATTCTTAACAATATATATATATATACATCTAAAGCCTTTTTTGAAAGCATCTTTTTACGCAAACACAAAAACAACAAGAACAAAACACATATGTGTTTGTTTTTCGGGAAGTTTGGTTTCAGTTGATTTCTGTGTTTTTGGTTTGAATGTTGATGTTTATTGTGCTGTATTATGTTTGCCAAAAACGATTAAATATAGGATGTTTCAGCACGTTTAAAAGTATATGTATATATATAGCATTTAGCAACTTAGATACAGCAGGTTTGTAGCGCTAATCCTTTTGAATTCCTCTTGAAATCCCTCTGAATTCTTGAATGATCCTGTATAACTTAACCCCCTACAATATTAATAGTGTCTGGCCTGTTTGACTTCTTTCAAAAAAGCATCCCCTGCAATCACGTCTATGCGTTTCGTTTCTTTGCCTTTGTTTGTGAATTCCCTTTGAACATTCCTTTTGTTTTTTGATGATTACCTATTGAGTTTCATTCCGATTGGTTTGTTCTTAAACTACTGAACAGATTTATCTAATTCCCTCTTATCAAATTATCACCACGAACTTTTTCACAAAAGGGTTAACCGCCCAATACACTAGAAATCTTGAATAAGAACACCCTCTACATTAATATCTGTCCCTTTTCGCTTTAATGATAACATCCCCTGAACTAATGTCTACACGTTTCCATTTTTCAATGATATTATATACCCTCTCAAACACGAGCTCTGGCTGGCAGTGTTCTCCACCGGACCTCAACCGCGAGCCGGACATCAAACACCAGCTCTTTGTGGATTACCATGTGTTCTCTGTGACTGTCTTTGTAGATTACCATGTGATTCTTTACACAAGCAGCTGTTTCTAAAACAGGCTTCGGACACAAAGGCAACCTCACACACACAATTATGTGCATGTGTGAGCCCAGGGTTGTGGAAATTGACATCTTCTGCATGCCTGTTGAACCTAGGCTTAACAATCCTGTCCCATACCAGCCCTTCAACTGCCCACTTTTGCCACGAAGCTCTTTCGAGTGAGCCGTCGCAACTGGTGGGTATGGAGTGACTTTGACCCACCTCCTAGGCCGAAGCGTCTCTTCCGCTTCTTGAAGAGCAAAGATCCGACGTTCATATGCCGCCAAATCTGCTGGATGAACAAATCATCCGCACCATCCCCGCTCAGCCCATGGAGGCTCAAGTAGGTCTTCTCCAAGACCCTCTGCCTTGGGTCGGCCGAGCCCAGCCAGCTCACCCACCACAGCAAAAGTACTATATACCACGAGTGATCCCCAACATCCAAAACAGTTTGGTACATTTGCGGGGGCGGAGGTGGGCTGAGGAAGGGAAAGAGGGGGGCATAAAAATCTAACGGCCCTCACATGGCAGGGTGTGAGGGGGACAAATCGAAACCAAAATGAGTTTTCTGTTTAGTGCGTACATCAACAGGAAAAGGATTGGCTGATACCAGGACAAAGGAAAAAATAGTATAAACCTCCGGCTGGGTATCTAAATTGCTGTGTCGTGGCTACCCTCATTGGCAGCAATAACAGTGCATTGAGGGCAAGTATAGGCGCAATCTTGGAAAAGGGAATCGTCTACCGCAAGAGACTTCAAAAATTGACAGGGTGCGCGAGATAGTTTCCGGTTATGGGGGACCTCAATTCTTCGAAGTCGCGTGGGAAGGTTCACGCCGCAAAACCGCTTCAGAACGCTGGCCATCGACTCTGCCGGCGCTTCGCTCTCCTGGGTCGAGCCACGCGAATATACCGAATGACTCGTTGGCAACCAGATCCAGCTATGCTGATGGACCAGTGGAAGAACCTGCCCTTTGAAATGACAAGCAAAACATCAAGATGCAAAAATAACCAGGCATTCCACAAAGTATCAAGATGCAGTCCCAAAACCGCCACTATAAAATGCCTTTCCATGTCTTCTCAAAACTACAACAAATGTAAGTATTAAGCAGCCACCCAAGCAACACCGTAACTTCCAAACACGTGAAAGAGCATCCAGGCAGCTTCGCACCCCACCGGCTGCATGGCCTCAAGAGTGTGGGCCGCCCGCCAGAAGTTTTGCCTCACAAATCGCGCGAGCTTGCCCTGACCAGCCGAAACCGAAATCAAGAAGAAACCGAGTCGGGTAGAGGTAGAGCGCCCCTCTCGTTTGTTTTAGGATCCTCATCCTAAAACGATTTTTGCACAAAAGATCATTCAGGATTCTGATCCTAAAACAGGCCAGAACATTGAGGACCAACAAGTTTTACCAAACTATAAGAGTGTTAGCCGGGAATTGCTGACCAAAGGCCAAGAGAAAGTCGTGGTTCCTCTCGAGCGCTCCCAAACCAAACCCTGCAGCTCCACATCTTCTCGAAGTCGGGCACGCCAGGTGCGGACAAGCAAAAGATACTGGAAGTAGACACTGTCTTGCGAAGGCCAGCGAAACATCGGTAGCATCCGGGAGGCCCACGACAAAACAGGTGAAAGCAAGGCCATATCCGCCTGCAACTCACCCAAGGTTCTGAGGTGCTCCCAATCATCAATCCTGGGGAGGTCACCTACCTGAAGCAATTCTGGGAGCCACCACATGACACACACCGCCTCTCGGACACTCAACGGCATATGTGTACCGTGACTGTCCCGAACGACTTGGTCGAACCTGAAGAACCTTTTCCGGAAGTAAGCCTGGGCATGAAGAACTCCGCTCAGCACGGCTTCAGCCGCAGACAGAGCCAAGTGCCGAGGCCGTCGGCGGAGGCCCTCGGCATGCTCCCGGAGACGGAACGGAGTAACCAAACAGCATCCGTCATGACACCCGGCCAGTGTCCACGAGAAATACGCCCTCCAAAACTCTGGGAGGGTGCGCCACAGAGAAGCACCAATGAAAGCGACGGCAAAGGCCATGAAGTCATGAACTGCCAAAAACCCTCCCCGAAGCCATCGTCTCCTGTCGTTCGTTTGAACGGGGCAAAGGAAACACACGTGCTCCAGCAAGCCGTGAAGGAAGCGAATCTTCAGCACAATGGTGTGGATGGATGGGGCTTTCAAAACGGCTTCATCTTGGAGAACCAAAGCTCGCATCTGGGCTGAAGGCTTTGAACTTGCCCTCTGCTCTGGCTCTGTTTGGGCTCTTCGGTATATACGCAAGCTGGCTGCAGAGAGATGTCCTTCATGGCTTCGCAAGTGAATTTGCATTTCCACACCACTTCGGAGTACGAGCCCACAAATGCTACAGCGAAACTTGGCCACGAAGGGGCCACTAGCACGGCCCATCTCCTCGCCCTTGTGCAGCAAGAGCTCTGACTCTGACAGGCCGAGGCGGCCAAAAACTTCACGGCACACGGTGAGGCGGAAGAAAATGGGCATGAAAGGCTTAGCTGCAAATTGCGCTTCCACGGATGCTTGTGACAAACTCCCGCGCAAGTGCAGCCCAAAATTCAGCCACTGAACCTTGGCAGCCGGTGGCGGCGCCAAGACACAGTCAGGAAATAAAGCTAACTTGATTGTGCCCCGGCCTGATTTATTATCAATTTTCTCTATAGTAGCTCTAACTACAGATGCCTAATGGCGAGGTGCTACTCGAAAAGGTGCTCCTCTTGTTCTGATTGCTAAGGTCCCCATAGTTGTTGATGGCTCGCTTACTGCTGCTGCTGCTGCCAAAGCCGACTCGATCATGTTGAACTCTTTCCTAATCCAAGAAGTGACTTTGAAAACTGACTGGTTGACCTTGGGTTGATGATGGGTTTTTGGAACAAGGCGCCCTCTTGCAACCAAAAGGCTGCGGACAGCACTTCAATGCTGCACATCGACCGCTTGAGGGAAGACAGTTTGTCTTTCTTCAAGACCAAATCTTTGCGACTTGCGTTTGCCGCCAACTGTGTCTCCAGGTGCTCGGCCCATTTCAGGCATGCAATGTAGCGTGCCCTCCAATGGCGGAGGGATTCCTGCAAAACACCGGCTGAAAAAACTATCATGCGAGTCTTGCTGGGGCCTTGCACGCTCACTCGCGCCAGGCCCTCTTCGGAATAAGCTTTGGCCAAGTGTGAGCGTGGGATACCGTGCCGAAAGATGCTTCGAAAACATCGAACCATCTCGAACCACTGGCCCAGCAACGTTCCACCACCGTCGGATGCAGCTGGTGTCTCTTCGGGCGAGGATTCTGTATCACTGCTGCTGCTGTCTCCACTTGAACTGGAAGAAGCACTTGAGGACACTCTGGGCGCTGACTTTTGCCCTCCTTTCTTGGCCGGCGGCGCCGCCACCGACCCCAGCGAGTTACAGCAATGAAGGTTGTCGGCCGCCCCGACACGAAGTGGCAGCCCAAGTTTTTCCCCTAGCAAGGCATCGGCCTTGTTCCCCGTCCGTCCAGAATAAGCTCTGTCAACACACATTGCGACACAAAACTGCTCCCGGCGACAAGCTCCTGTGGCCGGCAAGCCCTTTCTTGAAGCGGGCTGGCAAAGCTCATCCGAAAGCAAGTGTTGCCTCAAACTTTTTCCAAGGAGCTGCGCGGTAGCAG